TTTGGAAATAATAATAAGAATCAAACTCACATCCACTGAGCTTTCTGGGAACATAGATTCCTCCGTGCAGGTAGGTGAAGGCTCTCTGGAAAGTGGAAGGCACATGACTTTTCTTGCAGTACGATGTTCTACTGGGAATCTTGACATTTTTGAGAGGTGGAGGCTCTCTGGAAAGTGGAAGGCACATGACTTTTCTTGCAGTACGATCTACTAGGATTCTTGACATTCTTTTTCTCTTGAAGCTGAGCTGTAAAGTCTAAAATAGATAAAGGGGTTAGAAATTGAGTAATATGCAGTGAGGCGAGAAGAATATGAGAAGAGAGAAGAGAATTTTTGTAGGAGTGTATAGCTCAGCGGTGCAAAGCGAATGACAATAGTTGTAACACATCTAAGCTGCCAGCAAGCTTCTTGAGGTCAACCACACCCAGCTTAACGCTAGCTGGTGAAAAAAATCGTAATAACGATCATTTAAAATATGATCAATATACTCGAAGTGAATTTAGGCAGATTGTTAAACTCTCCCACCGTAGTTTCTTGACAGCTGGCCCCGCCCAAAAGGGTATAAAGTCGAAATAAACCCGCCTTTTTGGTGCCAGCTTCAAATCATTCCTCATTGGTGGCCACCTTAGCTGGTTGCCTTTAAACTTCCTCTTCTTCTTCCCTCTCTTCCCTTTGCTAACCTTTTCATAGCTCCTTGAAGATATCTACCGTAACCCTCTCTGCTGCCGCCCATGTGTCTTTGTCCTCTCACGGCGGTGTACGATCCATCTGCCTACGACTGTCGTACTTCTCTTCGATAGACACACTATTTTCCAAACGTCTGAACTCTACTCAATTCAACAACAATAGAGGTACGATTGCGAAACTTAACAGCAAAGTTTTTGAACAAAAAACCCTTTACAATGGATAGTGTACTCCTTAGTAGCAAACAAGCGAATAAAATCCTTTAATTACATAACTTTTGTTTCTTTTTCTTCCTACCTTAAAAAAATATATTATTACATAAATTTCGAAATTTCAATAAATTGATAAATAAATAAATAAATAATTTTTTTCAAGCTCTTGTAGTAACAATATCGTCGCTATTACATGAATAGGTCCGATATCGAACATAGTTTAGGTGAATCTCCTAAACCTTGTAATTTCACTAATAGAGGAACAGTTAAGAGAAGACTAAGATCGCATTCGCGCATCTCTCACAAAGTTGGACGTGTACGAGAAGAATCTAGACCAGCTAGTCCAATACAACGTCCAACCTCTGCCCCTTCAACTGGAAAATCATCTTCGGAACTCTGCGGATCTCTTGGATCTATTGATTCTGTTTCGTTTAGTTCAACTTCACCACAGCCTAAAGATCTATCAGTTTTACAAGTTTTACAGCAGAACAATCAAAATATTTCGAACCTACCAATAGCAATAGATAACCATATTGATAATCAAATAAACGCAAATCAACAACTTCTGAATCATGTCGCTGGCAATCCAGCAGCTCTCCAACAACGAGAAACGCAACTACTTGGGGAACGTTTAGACTCGGCAAATTAAGCCTTTCTTCTTATTGTACCAGATTACCAACATTTTCTGGAGAACATGGAGGTAAAGACCTTATGCGTTTTCTTCAACAATTTATCGAGATTGCAACAATCATGGGCTTGACAGAACATAAGATGTCCGACTAATACCCA